GCCTGGCCCGGACTGTGCACCTGCGCCCTGGGCGGAGTCCTTACCCAGCCCACGCAGCCGAGCTCGGAGGGGCCTCCTCCCCCTCTTCATCCTCGGACACCTGGCGGAGCCGCGCCGACCGCCTCCTCCAGCTCCATCTGTCCCCCCGGGAGGGTGGGGCTCGGGCTGGAGCCGAGTGTAGATGGTGTGGGGTACGCTGGGGGCCGGGAAGCAGAGGCGTTTGGGGAGGGTGGGAGAGAGGTGGGTTAGGGGTGGAGAGGGCTGTCCTGAGGGTGGGAAGCTGGGTCCTGGGGGAATATCCCAGATTGTCCTAGGCCTTGACCATCCTGGACCAGAGAGAGAGATTAGGGTCGGTTATCAGATGTCTTTCCTCTTGGAAAATCAAATAGAGAAGGGACTCAGGGTGTGTCTTCTAAGGCCTCGCTCTCCATTGGACTTAGCTCTCCTGCCCAGCGCCCAACCCCCAGCATCCAGGCTCTCATTTGCCAAACCATTCTCCAAGGACCGGATGCCCTGAGTCCCAGTCCCCGGACCGAGCCTACCCTGCAGGACTCCCGCCCCGCCAGCGCCTCCCCTCCCCCACCCACCCGACTCTTCCTGATTACTCCTCTGTCGTGGCTCCCCACTCACGTTGGTTCCTGGCACCAGGTCCGGGTTCTCGCCCTCCCCCATGCCCTGGCTCTACTCTCCCATCAGAGCCTATCCCCTTCCTTCCTCTCTTCCTCTTCTTTCCCATGGCCCAGTCTGTACTGCCTCTCCTGCCTCATCCTGGGGAAGGGTGAGGGCTCCTGCCATGACCTGTTCTCTCTTTTCCCAGCACAGACTCCCCCTCCCCCCGGCCCCTCCGGCCAGGGGTGACCTTGCCCCTGGAGCCCTCACCATGAGTACCAAGGACACCACCGAGGTTGCTGGTGAGTCCACAATCCAGGTTCCCACTTTGGACACAACCTTCCTCTCTCCCTGCCCTGTGGTGCGTGTAGTTCCTGGATTCCCTGCTCTCCTTGTTTCAGTCCCCCCAGTGCCCTGGATTCAGCCCTTTGCCCTCGGCCAGCACCCTAAGCCCTCCTTTCTCATTCCCTCTAGAGAACAGCCACCACCTGAAGATCTTTCTCCCCAAGAAGCTGTTGGAGTGTCTTCCTCGATGTCCACTGCTGCCTCCAGAGCGGCTGCGGTGGAATACAAATGAGGTTTCCTAGGGAGCGTGGGGGCTCAGGGCGTAGAAGGTCTGGGGAGAGTGGATGAGGGTCGCCCTGTGTCTGTCCACACTCCCACGTGCAGAGTGTGGGGCTCTCTGGGGACCACCGGGGAGCTATAAAGACCTGCATCTTGTAGGAACTCACTTCTTGGCATATCCACCTGAGTAAAAATAATAGCTACCACCTTTACAGTATTTCTTACAAACCGGGCACTGTGTTAAGCACTTGGCCTCCATTATCTCCTTCTGCAGCTCTGATGATGCTATCTATAGAGCAAGCACTGCTATCCCCGTGGTATAGATGAGGAAATGACTTATCTAACTCGCTCCAGAGCGCCTGCTTTTAACCACCACTTATGCTTGCTCCTTCTGGAGGGCATGTCCTGTGTTACACACCTTCTGTTCTCCCTACACCCAGTGCTTTCTATGTACTTGGTGGTTGATCATTATTGATTTGATTATTTGACTAGAAGAGGACTGTCAGTCAAAAGGGGTGTGTGTGTGTGTGTGTGTGTGTGTGTGTGTGTTATTGTTAGCGCTAGAGAGGTCAGCAGCGCTTCATGGAGATCTGGGAAGGGATTTGTCTATAGGATGGCTAGGAGTTCCAGACTCAAAGAGATGTGTACATGGCACTTCAGGCTTGTACAGCACTAACACTGAGGATACTGCTGCTCAGCTCACGTTCCAGACTCAAAGAGATGTGTACATGGCACTTCAGGGTGCCATGAGGTTGTACAGCGCTAACACTGAGGATACTGCTGCTCAGCTCAAGTTCAGGGAAGAACCAATGGTTCGTTCTGGCAGGAATGTAGGTGCAAATGGGTAAACAGTGTGAGCGTAGGAGCGATGGTTTGATCCCTGGTCAGGGAGAGCCTTGGAGTCAGGCTGAAGAATCTGGAATTCCTGGTGATGTCAAACTATTGAAGTTTTCTGAGTCAGGAAGTGGCACAAACGTGGAATTTGGAGAGGAAGATAATGATGAACAAAGAATGATGAAGAGCTTGGGTCTGGCCCCAAGATAAAAGCCCCAGTTGGCAGGGAGGGAAGGAGTCAGGCTGATGGAATTCCAGAGGTTAGACTTTTGTTTGCGATGGAACCTGAGATTCTTAGAAGGGCAGTGAGCCTTGCTGGGTCAGAGAGCTGGCAGCATCCTCCACTGGCTGCCAGAACTCAGTGGAGAGGGACCCTGAGGGGGTGGCCAGGAGGCCAGTCTGAGACTGTATGCAGGGGACACCCACCTGGGTACCTCCTCTTCTACAGGAGATTGCATCCTACTTGATCACCTTTGAGAAGCATGAGGAGTGGCTATCCTGTGCCCCAAAGACAAGGTGAGAAAGTTTGTGAAGGTGGCGAGTGGCAGAGGTCCTGGGTTCTGTTCACAGAGCTCAAGGCCAACCCTATCCTCTTCAGGCCTCAGAATGGCTCCATTATCCTCTACAACCGCAAGAAGGTGAAATACCGGAAGGATGGTTACCTCTGGAAGAAGCGGAAAGATGGGAAGACCACCCGAGAGGACCACATGAAGCTGAAGGTCCAGGGCATGGAGGTAAGCAAGGCATCCAGCTCATCTGCCTTGGCCCACCCTTCTCCACCCTTAGCTGGGTTCCAGCCCTGTCAGGACTTGGTACCATTGTCTGCCTCACCACCCTCCCTTCTCACTCGCTTTGCATCAGCTGGCTGATAGCTTAGCCCACCCTCCACACCCCATTTCCTTCCATGTCCCAGCTCTGCAGGCCTTAGGTTATGCCTCCCCTGGAGAACACCTATGCCCAGTCCCCTCACCTCACTTGTATTTCCCTCAGGGGTCCAAGTATTGAACCTCTAAGCACAGGTTTATCTTCCCCAAATCATTGCTCCTCATCTCAGTTGTGTTCTTGCCCTGCCCTCCGATTTCTAGATAGTCCTATATCTCAAATGTGATCCTCATTGTAAAGCCCTAGTCCCACTGTTCCCTTCTCCTGCCTCTCATCCATGATTTGGGGTGCTGGGATTTTAAAGGTGTGGGGAAGAGGTGGGGGTGGGTAAGGGTTGAAGAGGAACTGGTGGAAAGATTGGGATTCCTGCAAAGGGACTGAACAGAGGAAGAGTTGGGGAGCAGACTAGCCCTCCCCCCACCCCAGCCTGTCTCCTGGCAGTGTCTCTATGGCTGCTACGTTCACTCTTCCATCGTCCCCACATTCCATCGGCGCTGCTACTGGCTGCTCCAGGTAAGGATGGAAGCGCTCAGGGAGACACACTCTTTCTGGCTCTTTGAGGGAGATGGGGTCTGGAAGGGTGCAGTGAAGGATGACTAGTCCTGAGTGGGTACAGGAGCCTGGGAGATAGAGTTTGGGATGGAGAGAACCAGAACTTGGGGATGGAGCTGGGGGATGCCTGGGGAAAAGTGAAGACTAGGAAGCTGAGCCCTTGGATCTCAGGACCCCATCGTGCTCTGTGTGTACCCTTGTGCCCGCAGAACCCTGATATCGTCCTTGTGCACTACCTGAACGTCCCAGCCCTGGAGGATTGTGGAAAGGGCTGCAGCCCCATCTTTTGTTCCATCAGCAGTGACCGCCGAGAGTGGCTCAAGTGGTCCCGGGAGGAGCTGTTGGGACAGCTGAAGCCCATGTGTAAGGCAGCAGGGCTAGGACAGTGCTCCAAGGGGAGAGTGGAAACAGGGGCCTCCCAGAGGCACCAGGAGCCTGTGGGGTGACCATGTCCCTCTAAGCCAGAGGGTGCTTTCCTGCGGGGGTGCTAGGCCTCCTGGTGAGTTCTACAGTGGAGAAGGGACAGCTGTGAACTACAAATGCAAGCAGTCTTGAGGCTGCTGGCCTCCTTGCACCTGGCCAGAAGTCTTGGAGCATCTCAGGTGCTTGAAGGAGCCGAGCTGTCAAGGTGCTCTGGGGACTTTTGTGGGGGTCCCATAGCACTT